TACAGTTTCTCGTTTCGTAGTAAGGCTAAGTGTTAGTGGCATGGTGGCATGAGCCAGGAGCTGGTCTGTCAGCAGCTGGACATCAGCAGCAGCCAGTAGCACATCTGCCTGAGGCGTAACAGACTGGGACTTGGTGGCAGACTCAGTCCGGCGTCGATCGCAAAAGGCGCCCTTTGCCAAGTGGTGAGAAGAGTTGTCAAGATAGCGACTGGGAAACGCAAACAGACTCGAATTCTTACCAAGGCAGATAATAAGAGGTCCCACATCATGATTCACCATTACCCGCCCTTTAGCTTGGTTTTGCTGCCCTTCAAACTGAAAAAGACAATGAAATTGACGGGACAACAACCAGTCCACCACCTTTGGACTCAGGCCAGGGCGTTTCCACTGGTCGAAGGAAGAGATGAATGAGGTGGCCTGGTCGGATGGGAAGCCGTTCGAGGTGCGATATCCGTTGAGCCGTCAAATTGACCATGTGTGGGCTGCCAGCAGCTCGAACGGCGTCGCCCGGCGTCAAACATCCGGCCAAAATCTAGACCTGAAGCATGTTCAGCTGCTGTGTAATATTCAAGCTGTTCATGACGCCACAGAAAACCACTATCAGTGATAAGTATTACCGGCGCAACATCCTGGCTAGCGATTGGTTAGAGTTAGAGCCACTCAACCAGGCTGCACAGGTGGGCTCAGTTTCTGAACGTGTACTGATGCCTGATTCAAGCCGCGCAGTTTTCATGCGGGGCGGCGCACCACCATGAAGTCCCTAGCAGAATGATAAGTGATGCCGAGAGGACCTATTTTTCTTTTCAGCTTCACTGGGGGGCCAGCGGCATCACTGCGGGGGCTATGCCCCCCCCCCTAGCATCTCAGAGGAAGTCCTGGGGGCCAACCATGTGTTTTGCCCCCCCCCCCCCACACACACCCACTTTTTACTCGAGGCCCTCTCGTCTAGGACGTGGTCACCTTCCAGAATAAACAAACTCGGTAAAAATAAGTTCCACGAATCCCCACGCACAGAGTACAAGGGACCCTTGTTGATCCAAGGAGGCCCTCTATCCATACTCGTCAGCGGAGGCCCCTGGAACTGATGCCCTGAGATGCGCTAGTGGATCTGAGGAGGCCCCAATATCCACACTGGTCTGGGGAGACCCCTGACACTGGCGGTCTGAGAGGCCCGTCTGGCGTCTATCCACACTAGTTAGAGGAGGTCCCTGAGACTGGTGGTCTGGGAGGCCCCTCCATCCACACTAGTCAGAATTGGCCCCTGACATTGGTGGTCTGGGATCCCCCTACCCTCACTAGTCAGAAGAGGCCCCTCTATCCTCAATAGTCAGAAGAGGCCTCTGAGACTGATGGTCAGAGAGGTCCTAGTGAATCTGAGGAGGCCCCTCTATCCACACTGTCCTAGGGAGGCCCCGAGACTGATGGTCTGAGAGACCCTTTTATTTATACTAGCCACAGCTGCACAGGAGCCCCCTGAGATAAATGGTCTGAGAGACTCTTCTATTTATACTAACCTAAGGCGCCCCTGAGATTGATGGTCTAACAGGCCCTTATGTTTATACTGGCCGGAAGAAGGCCAATGAGACTGATGGTCTGAGAGACCCTTCTATTCACACTGGCCAGAGGACTAGGCAATTGAGACTGGTGGTTTGAGAGGACCTACTATTCATAAAAGGCAGAGGAGGCCCATGAACTTAAGGGTATGAGAGCCCCTCATATTCATACTAACCAAGAGACGACCCTGAAATTAATTATCTGCGAGGCTCTTCTATTCATACCAGCCAGAGAAAACCCCTGGGATTGATGATCTAAGAGGCCCTTCTATCTATAGTTGCCAAAGGAGGCCCCTGAGACTGACGGTGGCCAGAAATGGCCTTTGAGACTGATGGTCTGAGAGGCCCTTCTATTCAAACTAGGCATGGGAGGCCCCTGAGAATAATAGTCCGAAGTCTCAGATACCTCCTCTGACTAGTGTGGACTGTGGATAGACGGGCCTCTCAGACCCTCAGAGGCCGGTATCCCTCAGAGGCCGGTATGGGACATTAGAGCTCAGTGAGAGCTTGTGTGGTGCCTTCAGTGGCCTTGTGGAGCCGTTAGTGTTCTCTGGCGCCGGTGTGTCCTCACTCCTCAGTCACCGGTGTGGGGCATTTAGAGCTCAGAGATACTGGTGTGGGGCCCTCAGAGGTGTCGGTGTGGGTCTGTAGCAGGCTACATCTTTTTAGATCCCAACTTTACATTTTACGCTTCAGGCTGGTCCGTCACGAGCCGGCTCAGCCGGGCAGTATCCACGACCGTTCACACGTCTCGCCCTCCCCATTCCCCATCCCCTCCCTCCTCCCCCCTCACCCATCACTGTCCGCACAGAATGGGCCGCCGTTAAACTCCAATTAAGACAAGCACCTCTGAAGACAGTCACATCACGATGAGTCATTGGCAGACATTACAAAGCAGCTGAAGCTACAGCAGACGTCAGCGCACTGTGAGGCAACGCGCAGGCCTAAGGCACGTAGCACATTGGGTCTCACGTAGCCATGGTAGCACAACAAGTGCGTCACACTGCAACGGAATCTGATGATCTTAGCATATAGCCCCCAAAATTCGTAGTTCAGGACGTCTCCACCGCGGACAGAAAGCGCTGTTGTTCGAAGCAGACGTAGTTCAGGACGTCTCCACCGCAGACAGAAAGCGCTGTTCTACGGACCCACCCATCCAAGATGAGGTCACAGGGCGCGCCTGACAGAAGTCAGCAACGAGATACAGAGACTAGCCAGCTGACAACGGGACACGCCCAAGATACTTAGTTCCCGGGGTCTCCGCTACGGTGAGGAGGGCAGCACCACGCAGAGGAGTAACAGAGGCCAACAAACCAGATGATTGGAAGTCAAACGATTATGACACAAGACGATGAATGTAATTACCTGACAAAATAGTTATCCGATAAGGGGGCTGCTGGGCGATGACCATCAAGTTGGGTACTCACGACAAATGAGAGCCCGATTTCCAGGACTAGCACAGACGGTTGTACTGTTGAAGGAGAACTAGGAGGATAACTCAGTTACCGGAAACCAGCAAAGAAATTGGCTAACCAAAACATTTTATACCCCAACGAATCTGAAGCCTGTGAGCCCAGAGACCGGGAAAGAAGAACTTTGGGAAAATGGTCATGATGCCGACCACATGAAGTATTCAGCTTCGTAAAATTAACCACATGCGAATGCTCTAAAACAGCGATATCGAATACGAAGTTTTGAAATTCAATCATTCACCCATATCGAATATGAAGATGGAAGCTGAGTGGTTGACTGAATACTTAGTCAAAGGTTGCAATGGAAGAAAAAGGCAGTTACGACACTAAGTTGGGTGCAACCGAAGGACGGCAAACTGTACATGGAACATTATAAAATACAGCATGGCTAACGAGGAGTCAAGAAAAAGAAAAACATGGAATTGAAAGGCTGCAGTTGTCGGATACGCAGTCAAAAGAAAATTGAGCATGGCGGTGGCGAAAAAAGAAAGACGCTCAGAAAAGTTGAGTCAAAGTCAATTGAAAGAGAAACCTTTCATTGAATATTTCAATGAAAGAAATCGAAGGAAAACGCTCAATACGAAGAGGTTTCCACGAGACAGTCCCGCAGAAGAACAAAGAACACCCTGCCGTCTGACGTCACAGGACGGGCCTTGGGCGTCGGCCGCCCACTCAGGTATAAAAAGAGCACCACCCACCGGGGGGGCAAGGAGAAGAGTCCGCAGCCTGGAGCCAACCGGAAGGAGCCGACCGACAGACCAACCGTCAAGCCGATAGGAGGAGCCGACCGACGACTGGGGACAGAGAAACTCGTAATGTGAGTGTTCAAGCAGAAGTCTGCTCTTCCTCCAATCCCTCCCCCCTCCTCGCCCTTGCCTTAAACTGTGCCAGGCCCGTGACGACCACCAAACAGTTATTTGACTCATTACGATGCATTCTCAAATCGAAAAGGAAAATTTAAACTATTTTGAAACATCTTCGTCCAGACACCGTAGTTGTCAGATTTGGGTTAGAATCTGAGGGCCGATGCGACGTTAGAATGACCAAGAATTGCGTTATGGTCACAGTTACGTTATTTCGTTACGGTATACGGTTGCGCGCGGGTCCGGGTGCTAGTTCGTAAAAAGGGGCTAAACTTAATCCATTGCAGGCTAGGAATGGAATCGATTGATTGTCATAGACGTAACTTGTCAAATCCTAGCTAGGTAGGAGCAACGGGGCCAATTAAAGCGACCCATGTATTGTCACCCAACCGTAGGTACTCTGTATTACGATATAGGCGTGGTTCATTAGGTTAGGGATGCGTCTCACTAAGCCTGTGGGTCGAAATCTGTGCTTACTCTGTATTACGATATATGCGCGGTTCATTAGGTTAAGGATGTGTCTCACTAAGCCTGTGGGTCGAAATCTGTACTTACTCTGTATTACGATATAGGCGCGGTCCAGTAGGTTAAGGAGGTATCTCATTAAGTATGTGAGTCGAGCTTGTAATGGATATGGTTTGTAAGAAGCGACGAAACCAGCTGAAGCGACATGATTATTTGCCGCCGACCGGGCTCTGTACCGCAAGGACCCGCGTTCCCTCAGAGTAAGGATGCGTCTCACTAAGCCTGTGGGTCGAAAAACGTACGTGTTTGTGTTTTAGTATACCGCTAATAATGCTAATGCTGTGCGAGCTTGATGTAGAATAAATACTAATACCAATCACTTCTGTTAGGGCATACGAAGGGAGCGAAGGGGAGGTGATGTATATCGATATGGGGACGAAGAAACCGACTTGTTTTGTACAAGGCGCTACATCGACACTGCCCTGGCGCTTCCATATCATCTCCAACTGATTGCAACCCACAGCCACCACCGCCGCCTTATCGTTCAGTCGTCTGATCCCCACGCTCTCCGATAATACGTGATTTCGTCGGTTATCGTTTTCCGCTGCCTTTGAAATTTTAGCTGTCACTGTATAATAGCGCAGATGCAGGTGGGGAAATTCGTTAATATGTATTACAAGTCAACCATGACAAATTCAAGCATGACAAGCAAGGCACGGGAGTCTTCGGCACGGGAGTCTTCAGCTTCGCCGGTGTATCTGTAACAAACAGAAATTGGTGTTAGAATTAGACCATAGAGTCCTCACAGCTACGCACATTACCGATCGTGAACCCAAAGCCCTGGTGATCAAAAGAAGGGGAAAAGCAAGATCTGCTGTCGAAGCTCGTAAAGTAAACTGGTTGTGGAGAGTCGGCTGAATTGGTCAACAGTATATGGCGGTAAACATCGGATAAGTCAACGTTGATGATCCTTACCTGAGCTGGGCTCAAGAGAGCTCCAGAAGAGCCCACTCGATATCCCCATCGAGCCATTCTGGCCGAGCGTAGTTTGGGGAATTTAAGGTGAAGATTATTTTCCGAAGCCGGTGAATAATTTCTTTATTTCTCCGGCGGGCCCGCTCCATGTCGCGGCGGGCGACCTCCAAATTTCCCTGCAAGGAACCATCACAGCCGTTAATAACAACCACCTTAGACGTTAGATTTTACTAGCGAACCATTATACTATCACTCGTAAAAGTTAAATCCAACCATCAAAACAATTTGAAATAGATTTCACCATCCGATGCGAGAACAAATAACGACGGGTGACATTACACAATGCTCGTTCATCATGTAAGTTGACCCTCCCATCAACGTAGTTATTTCCATGAGTGAAGTGATCACAACGAGCGGTCCGACAAGCACAGTGCTACAAATGGCTCAGGGTAGAGCCTAAGAAATTCTCACCTCAGCCGCGTGGAGGTCGTCCTTTAATCGGACGATCTCGTTGTACAATTCGCGGGGCACCTCGGCCGCGGACCCCGGCGGGCTCTCGGGCCGACTTGCCTCCGTGACAACCTCCACAGACGTGGTAGACATGATGACAATATGCCGCAGGCGTGCCGGAGCCTTTAAATACCGCCTCAGGCGCCGCGCGTTGATTCGCGGAGCATAATGGCCAGAGATGCAAGCCATAGGAGCCACACCCAGAGCGTCGAGATTACAATAGCTAAGAACAGTACGTTACCTAGCAAAGGATGTACGCGACGGGATAGGGATCGTAACGATCGATATGTGTAGTGTGTTGGGGTGGTAGTGATCGATAACTAATATGACGAGGGTTCGTTATCAAGAGAAGAGGGCTGACGATTGAGGTTTGCATCTCTCGCTGAGGGGAGGCACCCACCGTCTCTAGGAAGGGCTAGCTCCCATTGGGCGTCGCCATTCCCTTATATGGAATGCATAGAAGTCCGCCAGGACTCACGCCCTGATTTTCAGGCCCATTTCAAAGTAGCACTTCCCCAGTAACGTCGATGTAACGTCAATAAATGAGCTCCACCACTTTATAACCGATAATTAGTCAGAACAACCCGTAACCACTGGCCATGCTACATTTAGAAGTGCTGCCGGCATAGTTATCGTACTGTCAGATACATGGCCGGTGATTTTGTGCTACTAATCGGCACGTATTGAGAAGGTCATAACACGGCGGCTCGGCAGTCAGCCGAGCGGCGGCATCCCGAGGTATAGGACTCGGCCACCAGGTGGCAGGGCGAGCCGCTGTTATTGGGCCAGTGGGTCGCGGGTAGCGGGCGACAGGATCGGCGCGCAGAGACGGGGTCAGAGCGGATTCGAACCAGCAGGGTTAACGTACGAGTGGTTACGAAGGGTTAATAATGGGCAGTAGAGGCTCGATCAGGGGGGCCAACGTTCGGATGCTGCTCAACTGACTAACCGAATTGAGACGTTGCGTTATTAAAATACCAGCGATGACCATCGATGAAGACACCACGGTAGTGGTACCGGGCATCTGAGGCCAGACGGCTTGCTTAGCCCGTCTCCTATGGCGTAAGGTTTACTAGCCTGACTGGGTGGGAACGAGATGCACTTCTATACATTTACGTCCAGACCGGAATGATATGAAGGACACACCGTCACGTATGCAGGGCATATGCACGTTTTCCGCCAGTAGTATCCGGCTACTGTTAGATTTCCCGCTTAGGTAATACTGGGTAACGAGGCAGTGAGAGGTTTCTATGGCAAGGAAAGGGGGAGACTGGTACAGTGCAGTTGGAGAGTAAGTGGGAGCTATGCCAAAGGCAAGAAGCCGAAGGTCAGGGGTGAGTCACCCAAAGGGCGGATAAGGCAAGCTGTAGTGTCCCGAATAAGTCCTCATACTTATTTTGTAAGGGTACCTTAATCGGTACTGGACAGCCTCAGGGAGGTAACGATGTTCTCCAGGACACGTAAGGCCTTGAAAGTAAATCCCAGGGTTTAAGGAGAGTTCCTGAGGAGAGTTCCAGGATATGAACGGAGGTCCCTGGGTCGTGAACGGAGGTGTTACACGCGGACCGGAGAGGGCATAGGTAATCTCTCCCGGATAGAGAGATAAGTCGGATGTAAATCGCGCATGTGTGTACCATAAGTCTATCGGACGTGTAGTGAATCCCATAAATTAGTAGGGTGGATATTTATGCAATTATTCTGGACGGCCCTGCGATAAGTATCTTTGTCGCCGGTTAGCGGAGCATACAATTACATATGGATTTCGAAAGGAGACATTTATCTCACCGGGGAGATCGTTATTAGTTAGACACCTGACACTATCGGAGGGACTTTTAGGGGTGCTCAAATAAATTCGGGGATTGAGTGATGAATGTACGTTGTTAGAGTAGATGGGTGTGGAAGGAACGACTGTATAGGTTAAGGCCGATAGGAGCGGAGCACAGCTCAGTTAGGGCAGTCGAGCTAATGAATCTCGAGGGTATCAAAAATAGCAACGCTAATACGATTTAAGTGGGCATTGTAGTTAATGGGAGGCCAGTAATATAGGAATCGGTGACTGGACGAATGACTACATTCAATTGATTAATTTAATTACCACCCATATGTTTGGCAGTGGTCATTGGGACTTCGAATGCCCCGTCCTATCACCTTCCGACTGTGCCACAACCCCAGCTGATCGGACTCCTCCATCCGTAATCCGAGCAGTGAAATAAGCACTCGTGAACCGGTCTATACTATGGGTCGAATAATCAAGCCTCCAATTTAAAAAGCATCTTCCATCAGATGCATTTGTATGCCGGGTGAATTACTGTCTGCTGAACTGTACTACACTTTATCTTGAAGAAGTAGTCTGTCTCTACGAAGTTATTTTAACTGCTACTGGCCCGGATGACCTGCTACAACGATGCAAGTTATAATCTCACGCCATACTCACCCTATCTACGGTCTTCCACATATGCTGAGTTACAAGAACCTCACCTAGACCCCTTTGGACACCTCACTCACCCAGACCCCCCTATGAAACCCGTGCTACAATTGGCGCCCAACGTGGGGCAATGATTATTTCGATCCACTGTGAAGCTAGTAAACAGGCACAAGCCGCCGAACCCATTGTAGGAAGATACTGAAGACGACTCTGTGAAGAAAAGAAAGGAGACGACGACCGCTGACACTGAACTGGTTGTTCCAGACTGCCACGGCCGACAAGATGGACAAGCTTCGGATGGTGGGAAACATCGACACCTACGACGGCGAACAAAATCTAGAAGAATGGATTCGCATGGTGGAACGAACTGCAGCCTTCACTGGGTGGACCGAGGAAAACACGTATAAGGCGGCCCTCTTCCGACTGAGGGGAGAGGCAAGTGAGCATATTGAACAGTTAAAAGCAGAAGGGCATATCAACAATTGGGCAGAGACGAAGAAGGCACTGAAAAGGAGGTTTGAAACAAATGGAAAGGAGCAGCTATATCAGCATTTGCTAAACACTGGAACGCAAGGCAACAAAACAGTCCAAGAATGGGCGCAAATTGTTCGGAAACTATCTCTACAAGCCGTTGGGGCAAGTGGGGTGAAGATGGAACGAGCAAATACTGCCGGGGCTGGACAAGACGACGACGAGGAAGAGGAACAGACCATCAACAGTGAGTCTACCAAAGCCATATTGAGCTTTATGCGGAAAACAAACTTCATCCGAGGGCTCAGAAGTAATCTCCGCCAAGTGGTATGGAGAAAGAACTGTCGGACATTCGAGGAAGCCGTAGCAGCCGCAACAGAGGAGGAAGCAATTGAACTGGCCCATAAGGAAGAGGAAGTTCTGAGCTGTTTCCGAGGCGGCTATGGACGTCAGGCATCAACGCCACTGGTGAACAGCATCGTCAACGCTCTGGAAGAACGTGAAGCAGCCAAACGAAGCGAGCAGGGCGCCACGGCAACCGAAACCCCTCGCCAAGGACAGGGAGCTCCCTCACAGCGGACAGTCCGTTTCAGGTCACCGGTGCCGCCTAGCTATACGTACAACGGCCGTAATGGAAATACGTACAGCCAACAACTACCACTCCCGAACGGCGGGCTACGACCGCGGTCAGACATGGGTCGCAGCATGAAGATCAATGAACCTTCGCAAGGACGATCGACGTTATACTTCACGGACGAAGAGATACGCCGACACTACGAAAATGGACTGTGCTTCGCCTGCCATCAGCCAGGTCACTTTAGACGCTACTGCCCGGTCGCGCCCAGACCCTCGGGAAACGGCCCTCGTCGGTTGCACTAGGGGGCCAGCCGACGGATCGTCCCAAGAGTCCCTCTGCAGACTGCTCAAGCAAGTACATCAATCAAATCCCACCACCAAAGGAGAATCTCGAACCCGAGCAAAGGACACCCGCAACTGACGCGGTAGTATGCACGTGCTACATCGGGATCGCAGGTCAGATGGCAGAAGTACTGATCGACACGGGTTCCAGTGTTACCCTGGTGCATGAAAACGCAGTCAAGAATGCGGATGTCAGGCACACAAGGCCACCCTCATCTCGTTTGAAGTCCGCAACGGGACACGACATCTTGGTAACTCACGAAGCACTGGTCAACTTTAATGTAGGAGGTCAGCTGATTGGACACTGGGCCTATGTGAGCCCACAGCTGACTCATCAGGCACTCATTGGGTACGATTTCATAGCCGGGAATGACATCATGATCGACGGTAAACGACAGACAATATACAGTCCATACTCAAGCCAGGTGCCACTGGGCGGAGCCAAACGGACGATGGAGGTCAGGACTCAACCTGACCCCAAGCCTACAAGAAGAAAAGAGGAACCACAGGAAAAGTCCCTTCCAGATCATGACGTGACCAGCAGCGGACAACGGGAACGACAAACCCAGGAGCACCAGCCATCACAGCAGGGCAACAAAACGGTCTGGAACATCGAGGACATCGACACGGGCTGTCTGGCGGAGGAACAGCGCACGGCTTTACTCTCGTTGATTGGAACTCATAGCAGCTGTTTCTCATGGGACGGTAGCCTCGGCACATGTACACTCCTGGAACATCGCATCGAGCTCACATCAAAGGATCCGGTCCGCAGAGCGGGATACAAGGCCAGCCATCAGGACAGAGAAATCATCGAAAGGGAAATCCGGGAGATGTTGGACAAGGACCTCATCGAGCCATCAGTGTCGGCATATGCAGCAGGAGTGGTACTAGTACCAAAGAAAAATGGTGAAACACGCTTCTGTGTCGACTACCGGGGCCTGAACAAAATCACCAAGCCAGACAACTATCCCTTACCGCTCACAAAGAGTGAAATCTTCGATACCATGGGAGGAGCAGAAATTTTCAGTTGCTTGGACTGTCAACAAGGATACTGGCAAGTGAGAATGGCGGAAGAAGATCGGCACAAGACGGCATTCCGCTGCCATCTCGGACTCTGGCAATGGAAGGTGATGGCCTTCGGTCTTCGTAACAGTCCGGCCACGTACCAAAGGCTCATGTCCCACGTGCTGTCAGGCTACACCGGAAAATTCTGCCATGTATTCATTGACGATATCATCTGCTTCTCCAAAACCTTTGACGAACACTTGGAGCACTTGGATCTCATCTTTCAAAGGCTGGAGCAAGCAGGCCTCAAGTTGAAACCGTCGAAGTGCTCGTTCGCGAGAAAGGAGGTGAAATACTTGGGTCACCTTCTCTCCCCAGGAGAGATCCGGCCAGACCCAAGTAACGTGGAGAAGGTGAAGAACCTGGAGCCACCCAACGACGTCGCCGGAGTCAGAGCACTGGTGGGCCTAGCATCATACTACCGAAGCTTCGTCCAAGATTTCAGCCGGAGGGCGAGTCCACTCACCGAGCTGACCAAGAAGAAGGTGAAGTTCGAATGGGGACCAGAGCAGCAAGCCGCCTTTGAAGACCTGAAGGCTGTGCTCACCAGCGAACCAGTACTGGCTCTGCCTGACTTCACGAAATCATTCATGCTGCTCACCGACGGAAGCGCCTCAGGATTAG